TTGAGAAAGCTGTCTTTATTGGAACGCTTCCATTTTTCAACAACAATAAATTGCTATAGATAGGATCACAATGTATTAAAAAGTGACACCACTTGGAACATAACTTAATATCTGATGGTACTCCACTAAATCACTGATGGTTCAAAATTCCAAAAGTCAGTAACATCTGGCAGACTGTATAACTAGAATAATCCCATTTTAGCAACAACAACAGTATGCTCACACAGCCTTCCAGTGAGTGCATACAGTACATCCAGTCCATCTGTGATCTTAAAGGGAGCTCATTCTATATATTCTACCACTGGTAATCCCAAACCCCATCCCCACCTCTCCCTTTAATATGCCATGCCTGCAGAGAGTCACTCAGCAGGAGAGAGATGCCTCTGCTCATGCTCAGGAGTAGCAACAAATGGTGGCTAAACTCTACATTACACTAAGGTATCTCAAGGCCCAATACTGCATCAGCCACCTACCCTGTAATATCCAAGTTGCCTGCCTAAAAAATCCTTCCAAATGCATTTAGAAGGCCCTGAGCTGCAACCTTTTTTCACTGTTGTTTTTCACTGATAATATACTACCCCTTGTAAGGGATTCCAAGAAATAGGACTATGTGAAGACATGCCTTTTGCTATGTTAGATTTAGGTGGCTCTGTGATGTGGTTATGTACAACTTAAAATATATTTTTAAATGATTTTACAATATGAGTAACTAAATCAAGGGTGATAATTGGAAACCCACTGGATGACCTTGGGCAAGTCACACACTCTCAGCCCCAGAAAACCATGATAGGTTTGCCTTAGAGTAGCCAAAAGCTGGAAATGACTTGAAGGCACACAAAAACAGCAGCAACAACAACAAATTGTGCACCTCTCTGGTTGCTGTCAAACTGCAACTCCCAGCATTTCTCACTATTGGCTGTCCTAGCTAGGGCTGATGGGAATTGTAGTTCACCAACACCATTCTGTTTCTTAGCTAGCTTGTGTATAACACTGGCACTGCTGAGATCATGTCACTCAAATTCTGTGCCATTTAAGTTGTTTGTGTAATTCTGTTGATCCTCTCCCAGCGTTTCCTGGTGTGCTTGCCAAGGGGTCTATCTCTTAACCTTTCCTTTTTCACTGTAAGCATGGTACAACCCTTCCTCATCCTCCTCTTGGGGAGCTGAAGGAGATCAATTTGCCAAGACCGTCTTTACTTCCTTTGTTTGGCCATTTCTTGCCTTAGCCTGGGTCTGGGATTATTCTTGCGCTCCCTCCATCTAGTGAGTTTTTTCCCTTTCTCAATCTCTCTCTCTCTCTCTATATATATATATATAAAATTTGGAAGGGGAGCAGGGGGAGAGAGGAGAGCTGGAATATTTTCCATATGTTGGCCGTGGGATGAGTCTGAATCAGGTTCTCTTTTTCCCTCCAGTATAGAGCCTGGCAGGCACACAATCCTCCTTTGGTGCCAAGTGATATACTATAAACTCGTGAATTGATGCTGTCTTTTAACATTTGAAACAGCAGTGATGTGTTCCGTAATGCAGGAGGCGTCCACGTACGCATACACAGGAGAGGGGTATATTTTTTCTTCTCCTCTGGTTCAGTTTGCATCACTCGTTCTCACCCCAAGGGACCCTTGGCATCATCTGTTGGTTTCTTCCTGGTGGGTAATGCAAGGGGGTAGATGTGATAAGATGGGGAGAAAGAGGCTGCTAGGGAGTTGAAAAGAGTTGAGCCTCAAATACTGGGGGCAATTACTCCCCACATAGCTGAAAGTTATCCTCAACTCTTGGGTTATGAACAAAAGAGAAGGACGCATGGGTTGTTTATGACCCCTACCTTCTCACCTGTTTTGTGGGGCAGTGACAGTAGCCATCATGTGAATCCAGGCCTTGCAGGAGACTCCCAGCATATGGGATCATTCTCAGGCTCAAGGCTGCAAGTGTTACATTTATTTTATTTATTTTTATGTATTTTAGAGTATTTATAACTCGCTCTTCAGTCACACAGGCTCTCAGGTTGGCTGATACATCTTTGCATCATTTGAGGTACATTACAGAGAATCTTCTGCAGTCTTTGTAAGGTAGAACATTTTTGTCTTAGCTGGTTTTTAGGTGGCAGCAGCTAAGCTACACTGGGAAAGGAATGCTCCATGCCACTATTAATGGCCCCTTGCAACACTTAGGACCTTATCACACGCTGGCCACGAAG